TAGTGGCTGTCTGTTCTCTGACCCCAGATAAATTTATTAGAGTACACAATATTTTGGGGAACACAATACAACCCCCCCCCCCAATAGCTTTGCTCAAGAATTCCATGCCAGACTGATCCAGGAATCCCAAAAAGCTTGTAGACTGGGTTGGAATTTGATCTCCTGTTGGAGCTGACAGGGGACAACAATGGATCAGAGACTGGGAGCCTGCTGATAGCCTCTGAGAGCCATGTCTGAGGTAGGTCACCTGGGCATCTCCTCCTGAGACTCAGTGTGCTCAGCATAGGTGGAGAGGTAGGAAAGGCATTCAGCCAGCTCTTCAGACGGTCTTCTGAGACCTCATAGGAAGGTCAAGAGCCCTAAAGGGATAGAAGAAAAAGTGTACAAATGGCAGCTCTTTGCCTCTGTGGGTCCTGCCTAGGGATTATTTCCTGCAGGCAAACACTAACAGACACTGCTTGGTGGAAGGGAAGGTTGTTCTTCACATTTAAGGTTAACTTGCAGGTGTGGCAATGATCATTTACCAAGTGTCCTATTATAGGGAATCTGAGACAGGAAACACAGTCACTGAGTCAGGGTCACACAGGTTGTAGATAGCACAAGACATCTGTCCACAGCCACAACTCCAGCCTCCCCACCATGGAAATGGTACTCGGTACATTCACTCTTCTAGATCATTTTGTGAAACAGGACTTATGGTGATATTTTATTTGTACTGAAATGTGATTTTATTTGTATGTTAATAAATAGAGTTACCTGGGGGTCAGAGCTAATAGCAAGCCATCGCAGAAGCTGAGCGGTGGTGCATGCCTTTAATCCCAGCTCTTGGGAGGCAGAGGTACGCGGATCTCTGTGTGTTCAAGGATACAGCCAGCATGGAGACACACACCTTTAATCTCAATACCAACCATAGAAGACCTGGCAGTGACGATGTGGTCATGTGGTTGGGTTTACAACCAACGAGAAGGCAGAACAGAAAGTCTATATAAAGACAAACACACAGGAAGTAGGTCTTTTGGCTGAAGAGGATAGCTGCAGCAGTGAAGGGTAAGGCTCTTAGCTCTGACCTCTTTGGCTTTCATCTTTGCATTGGCTCTGTGTTTCTTATTTAATAAGATGGTTACTTCTACAAGGACTCCCTGATTCATGTCGACCAACACCAAACACCTGACAAGAATGGCCCACCTGTGCCCCAGCTGGACCTAAATGTCAGCCAGATCCTGAGCTATTTGAGATCTCAGACAGGCTGTCAGGTTTTCAGGGAGGCTCAATGAGAAGACTAATCATGAACTATCTGTAGACAACCCTGAACAGCAAAGGCTTGGAGGGCTCTGGTTTACCTTCAGCAGGGGAGGTTAGTGTAGCTGGAGGGACTCAAACCTTGTGTCTCAAGGCAGGCAACGGGTCCCTGAGGACCAGGAGATAAAATGAGGTCTCTGATTCCAAGGCTTGAGTCTGACCAGCAAACACTGCAGTTGAGTTCACTCATGAGACAGTCTTTTCTTCTCCCATACACAGCACAGGAGGCCCCATTATCTCTGAGCACTCAGTAACTCCATTTGCCTTTAATATGCTTCCTGCCTGATTCTTTAAGGGTCTGGGTTGGCTGGAGGTTAAGAGACTGTCTCTGGTTCTAAGAGGCCTTTGCAAGAATCAGTAGTAACACACAGGGCAATCATCTCTCTGTGGTCAGCACAACACCACTACCCAAGACCAATATCACAACCAACAATTCCAATCCCATGGAAGGTGAGGACTCAGTAGCATTAATGTGTGAGCCTGAGACTCAGAATACAGCCTACCTGTGGAGGATAAATGATCAAAGCCTCTCAGAAGAGAGCAGGCTGAAGCTGCTTGAGGACAACAGAACTCTCATTTTACTCAGTGTTGTGAGGACTGACACAGGACACTATGAATGTGAACCTGGAACCCAGTGAGTGCCTCCCCAAGTAATTCATTCTCTCTGAACATTACCTGTAAATATTTTCTGTTTCATTCTGGCCCCAACTGCCTAAATACAGAGGGTTAGAGCTACCATATCAGTCCCAATTCCCTTGAGTTCATGACACAGACCTACAATATAGATACCTAGGCTGCCAGGGCATCCTGGCCCAGCCTAAGCACATGTAGACAGGCCAAGCATTGAGCTTAAATGGGCTACAGGGACTTCTGACTAGAGAGGCTCAGGGTTATTGAGACAGGGGACATGTCACACTCAGTCTCAGTGCACACAACAGTGTGCTGTGGGAATATTTGTGTGTTGTACTTGAGATAGATCATGGCTTGTGAATGCTGAATGAGTACTCTTCTGCTAATCTGCACCCCAGCTCTGGGTAGGACCTGCTCAACTAAGGTTAAAGCACACCTCAAAGAGATACTATGGCTTTCTATAGACCTGGGTTTTCCCTTCCCTCTGCTGACATCACATGTGACTTTATTTTGTTTGCTCCAGATGATTCAGATGTCCTGATCATATCCCTCTCAAATATTCATTTCCATTGAAGAACAAACCTTACATCTGCTGCCACACAGATACTAATGCACCTCCACAGTACTCTTGGTTTGTCAATGGAGAGCTCCAATCATCCTCTCAAGAACTCTATATTCCTAACATCAATACTAATAAAAGTGGATCTTATACCTGCCTCTTCAATAACTGTCAGTGTCCTCAGTAAGACCACAGTCAAGGACAATAGTCCTTAGTAAGTGGATCTCTGAAATATCAACACCATGTTTGGAATGGAGTCTTTTGGTTTTCTGGGAAGGTGCAGTAGCATTTAATTTCCAGCCCATGGCTATGGGAACAAGCAAAACTCAGTCTTCCTCCAAGCCCCATCCCTATGTCTAATGGCCTCCTGGTTCTCTGATTTCTTGCTGATAGGGATGGAGCTTGCAATGTGAGGAGGAGGTTCTCCCAGCCTTGGAAAGCCTTTGCTTGTGTGAGGGACTTTCCATGGTTAGGAGAGCCAAAGGTCAGGATTTCTTTCTGTGCCTAACACAAGTTTTCCTGTCCCTCCATTTTTATTTCATGTCCTCCATGACCTACAAGGAATACCCAGGGCTTTCAACTGTGCTCACTTTCTTATTTTCCAAATTGGAGGAGAATAATCCCCACAAATGAGGACTAGACCTCTGCTCAGAGGTCTTCTTCTGTCTTCTGGGTGGGGTGGCTGGCTCAGCTCTGACTCCTTGGGATGGAAAGAGTAGGTGGAGAAGGAGCCTGAGAGCCCTGTTCTGAGTCAGGGTGAACCATGTCACTGACAGTTGATGATTTTCTTTTGCTTACTCTTCTCAAGGTTCAAGAAACAAATGTCAGCTGAGTGTGGTGGCACACACTTTTGATGCCAGCACTGAGTAGGAAGAACAGGTAGATAGTGTGAGTTTGAGGCCAGCCTAGTCTACAGAGCAAGTTCCAAGCAACCTAGGACTGTAAAGTGAGACCCTGTCTCAAAAATTATCAATACTGAGGATTAGTGTGTCAGGCTGTGGTCAGCACTGTGACTATTCAGTTCTCTGTAGTTTTTAATCCACGTCTATGGGGCAGGAAATACAAGTGTTTCTACAAACAGAAATTCTTCAGTTAGGGATTTCTCCCAGTCCTGAGGTATAGCCTTTAACACCTTTAAGATTCTTAATCCCATGACAAATTATTTAATTAAAAACAAACAGAAGGCTATTTCATAAAAGAGGGACCTGAGCCGGGCGGTGGTGGCGCACGCCTTTAATCCCAGCACTCGGGAGGCAGAGCCAGGTGGATCTTTGTGAGTTCGAGGCCAGCCTGGGCTATCAATTGAGTTCCAGGAAAGGTGCAAAGCTACACAGAGAAACCCTGTCTTGAAAAAACAAAAAACAAAAAACAACAACAACAAAAAAGAGGGACCTGACTGTTCACACTCACACAAAGTGGGAGCAAGAATTCCCACAAAAATCATTGGGAAATACATTCCCCCAACCATGAGATTTCTAGACAAGTGGGTTGAAGAGGCTCCCAGTGTGGAATCTACACAAATACCCTGAGTCAGGGTCACTGTGAGTGATCTTGATGGAGTAAGATTGAGCTCTCTTCTTGCAGACCATATCTTCAAGCCAAAGATGTGATCTTGCAGAGGGCCCCTTCATTTTATGGACCCTAGGAGCTATCTGAGATCTCTGAGGGTGATGGACTCTCAGCTGGCCCCATCCTTTGTTTATCCATAGATCCTGTGACTACACCCTCCATTCAAGTCAACAAAACCATAGGCAAAGACCTGGTCTCTGTGTTCCTAAAGTGCCCTACAATCGACATTGATAACTCTGTCAGATGGTTCTTCAAAGGCCAGAGTCTGAGGATCACCAATACGATGACACTGAGCCAGAACAACAGAACCCTCGAAATAGTCCCTGCCAAGAGTAAGGATTCAGGGAACTATCAATGTGAGGTATCCAATCCACTCGGTTCCAAGATAAGTGACCCATTCCAGCTGGATGTAATAGGTGAGTGACCTCTGTTCCCCCCAACTCCTGTTGGGGTTGGGGGCAGTTTCTTTATCAACAGAATGCAGAATGGGTAAAAGGTACAGGGAGGAAAACATGGTTCAAATTACAAATAGAGCCAGCTTGGTTGAGGATGCATGTTAATCTCATGCTACAACGCCAAGCAAGGTGAGCAGAATGCTGCATGCCTTTAACCCCAGCACACCACAGGCAGAGGCAGTTGGATCTCTAAGAGTTCCCAAACACCCTGGTCTTAGTAGCCATTTTCAGGTTAGCCAGAGCTACATAGTGAGACCCTGTCTCAAAAGAGAGAGAGCACGAAGCAGGAAGCATAGAAGTACAAGGCCACTCAACTGAATGTACCAGGGTCTGCTGACTCCCCATGGGAGACCTTGCCTTGGAGGAGGTGGCCTTCTGGGGTGAATTGGAGGGGAACTCTTGCGGGGGGGAAGACAGGGGAATCTGTGGTTGATATGTAAAATGAATAGAAAATCTCTCTATACAAAAAAGAAATACAAGGCTAGCCCAGATTACATTGTGAAACCCTGTCAGTAACAGCAATAAATGTCAATATAGCAAATGGAAATGCAAAGTGATTAAGAGTTTAGTGTCTGAGTCAGATACACAGTCTACCCTCAGAATGCAGTAAAATATTCATGTTCCTCTGTACCCCCATACACACACATTCAGAATTTCTTTAGATTATTTCCAATGGCTAATATGAATACTGCATAGACACTAGTCTTATTGTGTTGAGTGCAGGACCATGATAGGAGGAAACAATACATTTTTCACTGTAGACATACTTTTCCAAGTAGTTTGTTTCCAAGAAGATTTCCATCCATAAATATAAAATCCATAGATAGAAAGGACCTGTATTGAGTTTCTTACTATTTTTGCATATTTGTTCATTTTGTGTGCATGTCCCACACCATCATGAGGAGATTAGGGGACAATTTGTGGGAGCCAGTTCTCCAGGGACAGGGGATTGAACTCAGGTGGGTGAACCAGCCCATTATCTGCTAAGATATTTTACTGGCCCATATTCATTTGTGAATTTATTTCTGTCTGGCATTTGAGGGTAGGTACTGGAAGGAGTCTGGCAGGCACTCTTCCCAACTCAGCCATCCTGGTGGCCCATATAATGAGTTTCTTATCCTCATGCTAACATTGACAGCATGACCTCCTTGCACAAGACTCTTTTTTTCTGGTAACCATATTCTTGTGATGTGCAATAGTGTGTGTGTGTGTGTGTGTGTGTGTGTGTGTGTGTGTGTGTGTGTGTGGTTTATGTCACTGGAGAGATAGCTCAATAGTTAAGAGCCCTAGAAGCTCTTTCAATGGACAAGGCTTCAATTCCCAGTACCCACATGGCAGCTTATTACTGTCTGTAACTGAAGTTCCAAGGAATTTAACACCCTATTCGGTCCTCCTCAGGTACCAAACATGCATGTGGTGCAGAGACATACAAGCAGCCAAAAGGCCCATATGATGCATGTGGCATCATAACAAAGACACCATTCGAAATCCAATTTCAAGATGCTTTCATCCCGTCTCCTAAGTCTGGTGACTTTCAGCTCTGATCCATTTTAGGTCTTTGATCCATGTAGAGTTGATTTGTATATGTTGTTAGGTGAAGGCTTAACTTCATTCTTTTAC